AAGAGTTTAAAATTTATTGAAAATTTGAGTAATACACATTTTACAGTCGCTCTAAATCTACAGCGGGTGTATCCAGTGATGGTGGATATAGTTGTTTAAAATTCCCTCCCATAAACATTAAAATGTAATCTTCTTCCCATATGTGAAGTGGCTCATAAACATAAATCATAAAACATAAAAAACATATACATGACCTATACTTATATTTCCAAATGTTTCCAGATGTTTGGTTACTGAAATTTAGAATGTTCCACATGTGGTGTAGACTAGCAGAAAGCTGTACATGAAGGTATGACAAAAGGTGTCTAGGGATTATTTTCCCAGCCCTTCCCCACCAGTCTGCAGAGCAAAATATATAACTCACCTCAGAAAGACATACAGTATTTACTTTTCTAAGGCACCCTTTCAGCTATTTTGGAGAACAACTAGCAGCTATAATTTAAAAGGATTACTGCTGAATCATAGTGTCTAGATTAATCGAGTGTTCTACAGGTGCAGTCAAGACATTCACTTTGTCTGGTTTCTAACTCCTTGCAAGTCAGTAACACAGCTAAACAGTTCTGGGGTGTTTCTGTAAATGTCCACGCATACTGCAGCATAATGATTTTCTCATAAGGACTACTGTGGAGTAATGTGTGCTGTTAAATTCACATTGAGCATCTTATATTATTGTGTTTCCTGTGTGTCTCATTTGGTGTTAACAGTATGCTTTTTAATTTTCTATCTGTATCTGATTTTGCACCCTTGCATGTCATGCACTATATATGTTTTCCATTTCCATTCTAATAAAGTGAATGTTTCCTGCTTGTTGGATGTTGCTGTGGATGTCTCATTGCTGTGTGAGATGTCCATGTTCTTAAGTGACTGACAGCAAATATTGACATGTACTATCTAGTACATCTCTGTAAGTGTGGGATTGGTAGTGTTCCATTAGGTTAGATAACTTTATTTTTGTAAATACTGATATACCAAAAATTTTGTTCATTATTCTTAAGATGTTCTTAGGTAAAGTATGTTATTAATTTAGTAGAAAGAAGTAAACTTACTTCAAAATATGAAGGCTAATGATTTTCCTGATTAGGACTAAGGTTAAGATGGTTTAATCTCATCCACACTGATTATCACATAGGTATTATTCCAATTTATAACAGCAACAAATAATGTCTAGCAAATGTAGCTTTGTCTAAAGAATCACTGCAGTTTACGTCTTGATGAGAATATGATATTTGTCCTGATTCCACATAAAAGTGTTCATCTGCCTTGATTACAGCACTAAGTGTGTCCAGAGATGTTGCCAGAATCTTTCATGAAAGTATCAGACACGGTAGAGTATCTAGTAAAAAAAAAAAAAAAAAACGCTTGCTCACATGGCTCAGTCTTACATTAATTGGTAGATACTCTTTTTCCTAAAATGTATTTGATATGATTTTTATAATGCTTCTGCTTAATTTGTAAACTGTCTGACGGGCTAGTATTGTTAGACACGCAGTACCTTCAAGCATGTATTTTACATTGACTACTGCTTTCAGTGCATGTGCTAAAGTATACCCACAAATCTAGTCTTAGCTCACTTCCAAAAGTTGGTTAGATCACTGAACATATGTTGACACATTTCTGAAAAAAAACAAAACATATCACTTTGTACCCTAGCTGGAGGCCCAAACTGGAATATAGAAGGTGAGACAGCATCCCAGCTCCCATGTAGTTACATAGAGACTGTATATCTCCATGTCGTGCATCATGGTTCTGAATAATCCACGTTCCTGGTTGATTTTGCAAACATCCCAGACTCATTCTGGAATGACCCGCATCTCAGTAGTGTACAATACATGTCATTTAGCAGATGTTTAGTAGTTGACATGTCAGATCCATTCTGGAATGAATCCCATCTTAATGGCACTAGATATGTTTTATGTGTCATATATTGTAGTGACTTCAGTTAAACATCATTCTGGAATGACTTGCACATCAGTGGTTCTGTAAGCATATAAGATCCATTTCCAGTATTCATGTCCATGCACCTTTGCAAAAAAAAAAAAAAAAAGACATGCATATTGTGTGATCATACATAAGTTTTACCACCAAAATCTGTTCAAATTGCTATTCAGTGCGTATTGTATGTTGAGGCATTTTACCCAAATTTATTATAGAATTCTGAAGGTCAGTGATGCCAGTGTTTACTGATTATACATCAGAAAACTAATAAGGACTAGAACTGTTAAATGCTTTCTAATCATGATGTGGGTAACAGGCAGCGTTTACCTTCAGCATAAATGACCATTAGGGTATTCTCTTCATCATTATTGGTCCATCTTCTTCTTGGTGAAATTAGATCACTGATAATGCAGTGAGACATTTGGCAGACTTGTGCGCTTTCTATCATTAGCGACAATCTATTACATTGAGAACCAAAGTGATGACTCAGATTTCTAATGTAGAAAATTCCCTACCAACCTGACTTGTTACCATGGCTTCAGATCATTTTTCCTCATACATTTTGAAGGTTTTCTGAGCCTTGCTCTAATGATGGTCAAATGTGGCACAAGACATCCAATATCTTAGATCAGACGTTACATGTCATGCTTTAAAGGTGTTAGATGTCTGTACAAAGAGCTTTGGAAGGCTTCATAGCACAATGCAAACACAGTCCTTCATAAATGCATTAACATGGTTCAGAAGCACATCATAGAGATATGGTTTTGAACCTATGCCATAAGCTACAGTGGAAGGTAAAGATTTAGATACTGTGTAGATATTTTTCCCCCTTCACCTCTCAGATTACTTTATTAAGACAATATGCAATACATAGAAATGTTTGGAAAATGTGAATATAAATTAATTTATTATTATTATTATTATTATTATTGGAGTAAAATCATGCAATGGGACAACTCCAACTCACAGTGTTTTGGATGAAATGTAATAATACATAACGTTTCATATACAGTATCTATGAAAGAGTGAACAAAAAGAGCCCTCACACAGACAAGGAACACTTCATGCTGTCAAAAACATGCCAAACTTAAAATGCTCTTGCAATTTATTCATTTAGTCTCTTGGATAGGACAATACAGTGTTTATGCTTCTCTGAGGTCACCTATCCACTCAGAACAGATCAGATCAGAGCTTTCCCTGGATTTGACCAAACAGGGACAAACTGCCCCTGTTTGGTCAAATGCAGGAAGTGACAATATATGTGTGATAAACTGATTCCAAAGCTAGACTGCAAAATTAATCTGCATAAGTAGTCATTACCATGGTTAAATTAGAGAGCTGTTAATCTATTAGGGGTAACTAGGTGTGTATTTGTATGTACATGCTTTTAAGCCACTACTTCTCTCTGCCTAGCATACCATCTGAGAAGAGAAGACACTGATTGGTTTGATAAGCCAAGAGAAGGGCAGCTGCAGGGTGGGTCAGACAGGAGACAGGTAAGCTCCAAACTAAAACACATTTAACTTCCTACTATGATGTTTCCATACTGAAAGCTTCAGTATGGAAACCTGAAATGATATCTGTAAAGAAACCTCCTGTAAATTCTTTTCAGACGAAATTGGTCCCCTATGCCTTCCCTCACACTCGCATCAAGCTTAAGAGAGATCTCACAGACACCAGTGTGTCAGGTATAGCAAAAAGGCATCACACAATGATTATGCGTGGGATAATTTTCTATCATTGTTTTGCTAATTAGAATTTGTATGTTTCTTTTACTCTCAGGGAATGGTCTAGGGATCCGTGTGGTAGGTGGGAAGGAGATTCCAGGGAGCCGAGGAGAGATTGGAGCCTACATTGCCAAGGTTATCCCTGGTGGTGTGGCAGAGCAAGCAGGAAGAGTTGCAGAGGGTAAGAGGAGAATAAGAAAAGGAAGCAGCAAAAATCTGGGTTTTTCTGCTTTTGTGGGTGTTTTGTATTTATTTTTATTACTAATATCATTTGGAATGGAAAAATATCCACAAACAAGCATACACTATTCAAAGTAAGATATGGGAGGGCCATTAATTTGATTTGCTTAGTAAGAGAAAGTACATGCCAAGAAAATCTTTTCTGAGCCCTGAGAAATGAATGTTATACTTTCAGATCTTTAAACTATTATTAATTTGAGGGCACTGTAAGATTGCCTGACTCATTGTATTCCAGATGGAGATGTGAAAGGTTGTTGTAGCCTTCTGTGTTGTGATTTGTCATCATGTCTCATTCCCCAGCACTTCACAGCCAAACACAAAAAAATCCTGTCAACTCACCCTCCATAGCACTGGGCTGTGTTAGTCATTGGGCTATATTTAACATAACCATAGACTAAAAATTAGATTTAGGAAGCTCTAAAAGTCTCTGCTCAATTTGTGAGTTATCAGAGGTTTATATGACTGATCTTTTATCGTTTATTGTTTGGACAGAAGACAGCCAGAATATTAATGGTAATCCTTATAGACAAAATTATCTCTATTTTATCTCCTTAATGGTGATTTCACGACCGTGATTCAGCTGTTGCATAAAAGAGAGATTGAAGGGCAGATCTGTATTGTAATGATTTTTATTCACATATAATAAAGTAGGGGAGGATAGGGTGAATTATATACATTAGAAAGAGCAGAGGGAATAATCTAAATGAGTGCTAGCTCATGCAGAATGAAATGGAGTTATTAATTCGAGTCTTTAATGTCACAGCAGCTGGTGAATTGCTTCGTAACCAGAAGTCTAATCTGAAGACAAGTTTTCAGTTGTGTAAGTGAGGCATCCTACTGTACACCCCTGGGCTTGCAGTGGAAGTCTGAGTTTGCTGTGGTCTGATTTTTATATACAGTAAAAACACAAATTACTAAGTGAGATTTGGTGTTTTGTATGACTTCTTTTACCTCTGAAATGCATTTTTTTGTTTGAGTAAAACTTTACTTTCAGTTTGTTGTGCACTGTGTGTTTAATACTATAATGATGCAATGTCAAATTCAACACAAAAAAACTAACAGAAAACAAAATTTTCCACTGGGTGTACTACAAAATGAAGTGTTCCTTTGGCTGTGTTTAGGATGTGTGAGTGTTTAGGATGCACTATCCAGAATGAATCATGTGTACAAATGGAATGAAATGCAAACATATTTCTAGGGAATTGGTAACACCCTTTTGTTACTGAATCTGCTTGCTTAATGTTATCACACCACAGGAATGCAGGTGATGGAGTGGAACAGGGTCCCTCTGACGGGAAAGACTTATGAAGAAGTGCAGTGCATCATGGGCCAGCCATGTGCAGAGGCAGAGCTTTGTGTGAGACTGTGAGTTACATCTGTCATCATTTATCCCTCCATCCCACTGAAACTCCTACATGTTTAGTGGCAATATGTTGACTCTGCACTGATGAACATCTTCTTTCTGCCTCAATGGCCCATCTTTTTATTCCACACCCCTTCATCTGGCAAATATCACGTTGTGACTTATTACTGCTGAGATACACTGGATGGCTATATACATTTCCTGTATGCATCCAAACAGCGACCTTAATATGCTGTCTGACCCTGACCACCCACAAGCCCTGGAGCATCATGTTCAGCTTAAGGCTGGTATGTACTGGTTTGTTGATATGTTTACATGCATGAATGTACGTTTTCTGTGCATGTCTTTCACTAACATTAAACATACATACACATTCATCCTGATAGGTGGACAGCGGTCCCCAGGTGTGGATCCAAAGCAACTGGCTGCAGAGCTGCAGAAGGTGTCCCAGCAGCAGGCTCCTGGTGTGGCTGGTACAGGGGTTGGGCCTGGCAGCTTGGAAGTCCTCTCTGCGCTGGAGCGTTCAGCCCTTCTCCACTCTGGTACTGGATCAGCTGCCTCTAGCGGTGTCCCAAGCCCCGGCCAGCCTGCGTCACCTGCCATAAACAAAAAACAGCGACACAAGGTAGTGGATTTAACTTGTTAGCAAGCTTTCTGCTGGTTAAACATACACCACATAACACCATAGTTTACAGTGTCACTACAAAAAAGGTTATAATGTACAGTCTGTTATCTAATTGTCTAAATTGAAATTGACATTTCTTTTTACCTAAAATAATTGATTAACCTTCAAAAACTTGAGTGTAAGACTTTCCCAGGCAGTTATACCACTCAGATAGTCAAATCTCTCCTGAGGCCTGTAGAGCCAGTGATAAATCTTTACCTGGCTCAAAAGGACAAACAGTTCATTTGTCAGCTGACAATATATACTGAAAGAGAGCCATATTTATTGCAGTTGAATCCCAGGGCAATGGCTGTAGTCTGTGATGAACGTTTCTTAGTGGCTAAAGCCAGGACTTTTTTTTTTTTTCTTTTAGCCAACAGAGGGGATGAAGATGCCCCATCCCATCACTGGAGAAATTCAGGTATAAGGACACACCAGAGCAAAATTTTAACTGTAACAAATTAAAGCTGCAGTCAGCAGTTTGCTTTTTCTCAAGCATCCTCCATGCTGCTCTTTTCCCCTCAGCTCCAGATCAACTATGACAGAAACCTAGGAAACTTGATCGTCCACGTCCTGCAGGCTAGAAACCTGGCACCAAGGGACAACGACGGCTACTCTGACCCTTTTGTCAAGGTCTACCTCTTACCTGGGAGAAGGTCAGCTCTGAGCGTGTTTGAGTGTTCACACTCATGTCTGGTCTGTGTCAGCCTTTCTGCTTCTGTGTCTGTTTTGTTTTCTTTCTCCCTATTTCTTTCTGACTTTGTATTGACTGTGCTGTATGGAATTGACTAACTGTATGAGAGAGAGAGGCATGATGATATGAGGCAGTCATTTGTAGTGTAAATTGATTAAATCTGATTCACTTTCTGTGAATCAATGGATGGGTGTTTTCACATTATAAAAAGCTGTGAAAGGAGATCCTTTGCCTTACTGTTATATTATAATGTATTAAATTACCTGGTCATGGAAAGCCTACTGTACATGTGTGCAAACATACTCTATGCTGAATTCACAATCTCCTCTTACTCTGCCCACTTTTGACTAAAGCGAGTACTTTAGTATTGCCCCCTAGTATCATGGCTTCTTTATCTTATCCCTGTCTGCTCTACCATTTTCTCAATAGCCTCTGAATAACAAAAGAAAGGATCGATATATAGCCTTTTTCTGCACTGTAACAGTATCTGCTCTCAGATAATGACTCCATCAGACCTGATTATGAGATTGTAAGCCTTCTGTAGCCACACTGTATAGGTCAGAAATGTACAGGAGAGCACTTTTGTTCTCCTGCTAATTCATTTGAATAGTATTTTGAAATGTACTTGTCTGACATTAGCAGCAAAGTGCATAGCCACAGAACCCCAGCAACAGCTCAGAATAGTAAATTATTAATTTATCCATGGGCCAGCTGTAATCACTGTGAAATTTTTTGGTCTAATACTTTGCTTGGACACAAAAACAGTGATACACCCTGTGTAGGATATTGATTGCCTCAGCTCTCTCCATCCTTGACTACCTCTTGTTTGAGCTCCCTGGGCTTCTCTGACTGTTTTTTTGTGTTTTTTGCTTTTCTTGTTGTGATATCTGCCCTCCTCTTCCTCTTCTGGACTCCCTCAGCCAAGTCATGGTTGTCCAGAATGCAAGGTAGTGTGGTGCTGATTTTTGCTTTTAGTTGGTGTTATGTTTTATTTTCTGTAAATTATGTCCCCAAAGTGGATTTCCATCCTTTTGTTGTGGCCTTTGCCGTCCGTCCAATTATTTGCTTTATTTCATTTTCATGCAACACACCTATCATTGCTTTTTTTTTTCTTTGCCTCTCACTTTCAACTGTTTTCAGCCTCCATTGCTAATATAATGTGTAATTTTGTAAAAGCATTTTAGTCCAAACGGTCAAAAAAAAAAAAGACATATGAGTTTATTATGATGTGTCCACAGCAGGAAAGTGACCATTTTACAAACATCAGCTCAGTCCACATTTATTGAGTATATCACATTTTGGTGAATGTTTGCCCTAACGTCAGACAGGGACAAGAGTCTTTAAATTATTACTGACAACCAATCGTTCTGACTGTCCTGACTCATCAGTGCTGATAACAAGAGAAGGACCAAGTATGCCCAAAAAACCACAAACCCAGAATGGAATCAGACTGTCATCTACAAGAACATTCATTTGGAGCAGGTACTATGCAGAATAACATCACACAAACACACAAACACACACAAACTGTCACTCTGTCCTGCTTGTGCAGTTACTGTACAGTAGAGTATGTGCAGTGGGCCACTTTGGGGATGTCTTTTACTCTTATTAGGATTCTGTCCTCATGTCTTGTCCCTGAGGCTGCTCTCAGTATCCCTGTGCAACATCTTATCATCACTCCCAAGACTCAACTTAACAGCTATCATTTTTGCTCTTGCACAGTGTCAACACAGACAGCCTAAGTGTGTGTCATTTTGACAAAAAAGAGTGAAAGAAACTTGGTAATCATGTGCCTGTGTGCTCATCTGTTACTGTGCAAGTGCAGTGTACATGAGTGCCTGTATTTATTCTTGGGTACCGTGTGTTGTTATAGACACAGATGCCGACACCATCCAGACAGTAATAACTGTGAGAGAATGAATGCATGGTAGCTTAGTGGTCAGAGATAGAGGGCCTTCTGTGAAGGCTGTGGATTCATCGCCTCCTCTGGGAATGCCTTCTCTTATTCCTTTCTCACTGCCGGCCAGATCAGACTTAAAACTCCTGCTGTGTCACTCATTCACCCACCAAGATAGGTTTCCATCTCCTTACACACATTCCTATATACAAATACACATTCACAAGTACAGTATATAGACATATGACACATATGCATATAATTTTGAATATATCGAATGTGATGAAATGAGCCTTTTAGGTTTGCATTCATTCAAGCACTGCACATACAGTGTGTCTAAGCTGTTTTCTTTCATACTTTCTCCACCCACATATAGCAGACACAGCTATCACAGGCACACTGCTCTTCACACATACATATGCATTCATGATCTCTTCTCTTTCTATTTAGTTAAAGAAAAAGACACTGGAGGTGACGGTGTGGGACTATGACAGATCTTCCTCCAATGACTTCCTTGGAGAAGTGAGTGATTTTGGAATTCGAACCCCATGTCTAAAAATGTCTAACACATTTAGTATTTACCTCATACAAAAGGTTTCAGCTGCTTTAGTTTTTTTTGATAGACTAAGAAACAGTTTTATCCTTATTTCTCTCCTCTCATGAACTCCAAAGTCAAACTTTGCTTCGTGCCTGTAAATCTGTATATTGAGCAATTTTATTTATGTTGTGCTAAATGTAATGTGCATTACAGCTGTTTAGCAAAGTGTTTCAAAACACTTTGCTGTGAACCTTTTTAACCACCTTCATTCAAATTCCTCTCCATCCATCCATCCATCCATTTTCCTCCGCTTATCCGGAACCGGGTCGCAGGGGCAGCAGTCTAAGCAAAGATGCCCAGACTTCCCTCTCTCCAGACACTTCCTCCAGTTCCTCCGGGGGAA